AGCGTCTGTGATTCTAGTTGCCCCGAACTGGCCAAATCAGCCCTGGTTCGCGGACATGATGGAATTACTAGTGGACTCCCCGTGGGAAATTCCGCTCAGGAGAGACTTGTTATCGCAGGCGAACGGCACGGTATGGCACCCCAACCCCGTGCTGTGGAACCTTCATGTGTGGCCGCTGCGGGGGCTCTGCACTCTCGAGCAATGAGCACTATCTCTGAGGCGCGCGCCCCATCCACTAGGCGTTTATACAAATTGAAATGGGAAGTTTTCTCTAAATGGTGCCAGGATATCAGTATTGACCCGGGTAACTGCACCGTGTCGGATATTCTACGCTTCCTTCAGCACAGGAGGGATAATGGGAGTTTACCGTCCACTCTGAAGGTGTATGTGGCTGCAATTGCTGCGTTTCAACCCCCGATCGAAGGACAGTCGATCGGTAAACATGCGTTGGTGATCAGTTTTCTCAGGGGAGCTAGGAGATTGTGTCCGTCACGGCCGCCTTCTGTGCCGCCGTGGGATTTAGCCCTGGTGTTGAGGGCTCTGTCTCTTCCACCGTTTGAACCACTGCCTTCAATTGCGGTCAAGGAGCTTTCCCTGAAAACTGCTTTGCTTCTCGCTCTCGCTTCAGCGAAACGTGTGGGGGACCTGCAAGCTTTCTCGGTTCACGAGGACTGCATTCGTTTTGGACCGGGAGATTGTAATGTCACTCTTTGGCCAAGACAGGGTTACGTTCCGAAGTCACTCAATACTCCGTTCAAAGCGCAGGTTGTTTTACTACCTGCGTCGTCTTCTGAATCGTCGCCTGATACTGACGCTCAGAACGCTGTTTGCCCAGTCAGGGCTTTACGGATGTATATGACTCGCTCAGCCGCTTTTCGCCAGTCGGATCAGCTATTTGTGTGCTTTGGCGGTTGTAACAAGGGACGTGGAGTTTCAAAACAGAGACTCGCTCACTGGATTGTGGACGCTATCACTTTGGCTTATGATTGCCAGGGGGTGGTCTGTCCCCTCAACATTAAAGCTCATTCGACGAGGGCGATCGCCTCTTCGTGGGCCTGGTCCAGAGGTATGTCTATAAGGGACTTGTGTTTTGCTGCTGGCTGGTCTTCTTAGAATACTTTCGCCAGATTTTATAAGTTGGATGTACCTTCTGTCACATCTCAAGTGCTTTCGGTGAGTTGAGCTTTCAGGTTGTGCATGAATTCTGGATTTTATGTGTTGTGCTTATGCAACTGTCGCCGCTTTGCTGCTGACTTGTATTATACTTGCTATTATGTTGTGTTGTTCTGCCCTGAATGATTCAGTGCAAGGCTTCCCTCTATATCATTTGCTTGGGATATGCAAATTTTGACAAGGTTTAGAAAGCGCGCTATTGGCTCGCTTCGCCCTATCAGAAGCTTGTATTTCTAGTAGCACAGCTATTGGATGTAGGTTCTGTCATTCTCGAGTGGGTGGGTCACTGCTCCACGGCGGGATTTGACACAGTTCCCATACTACGTCATCGACGTAAATGTCGAAGTGACCGCCTTGAAAGGGAACGTCTCCGGTTACTTTCGTAACCTCGGTTCCCTGAAAGGCAGGGAACGAGACATTTACGTCGAACGCCGTGTCGCTTGTTCATTCGAGCGTTCAGTCGTGATTCTGATGCAATTGACGAAGTGTACGCAATTTATACTGCCAGCGCTTGTCAGTATTTGCATATTTTGCGTCACTTGGCCAGCTGTCTCCAGCTGGCGTTTGCCCATAAAATTTCAGCAGAAGTGAAGAAGGGGAGGAGTTCCCATACTACGTCATCGACGTAAATGTCTCGTTCCCTGCCTTTCAGGGAACCGAGGTTACGAAAGTAACCGGAGACGTTCTTCTCCCTCGCTGTGTTATGGCTTTGCTATGTGGGGATAAATGTGCTTACGTTCGTGAGACAGCTGATTAGTACTCTTGTCATTGACCGTAAAACAGTATGTTACAGGAATCACCAACCCGTCGATCGCGGTCGAGAAGTCGATCTTGGAAGCATTTAAAGTCGATCGCGAAGAGTTTTCAAAATGAGAGAAAAAAGCCTATTGTGTGTAGTAAGTGGTGTCTAGGGGATGCGGAGGCACGCGCGCTGTTACAATCATGTCATTTTTGCCGCGCGCACCTTTGGGCTCATATCTTGCGGAAGCGTCGAGTTTAAACAAGGCTTTACGCTTTAACCAGCTCAGCCACAGTAACAGCTCATATTTAGCCAGCTAAACTTTTACTACCCTGTTAGAAAACATATATACCGGTAGTTGCATAGTTTCATGTGGTTCGATCTCCCTCGCTGTATTATGGGTTTGCTATGTGGGGAGAAATGTGCTGGTTACGTTTGTGAGACAATCAGCTGATTACTATTAGGGCTGGGTATCGATTCAGATGTTCAAATTCGATTCGATTTCGATTCGCAAGGTCTCGATTCGACTTCGATTCTCGATTCGATTTTCGATTCTCGATTCGATTTCGATTCTCGATTCGATTTTCGATTCCTGATTCGATTCTCGATTCGACTATAATAAATATAGATGTAATACAAATCCTATATTTATAAAAAAGAACAGTGGACATAAGTTTACAAGTGGTTAACAAAGAAATTAAGAGCCACAAACCTGTATATAAAACCCTTTTTTATTTACACTATACACTAAATGCATACAATGAATAGACAGGATTTTGATGCAAGATGCCAAATTGATGCTGAAAATTGGACAAGTCAGAACAGTCGCATGCCTTTGATCAAACACGATAGGTTATTTTATGTTTAAGATAGATAGATAAATAAATATCAGTTATCATTTTTAAGAAAAATTTTTTTTTACATTGATCTCACCTAAATGTTTGTTTTTACAATGGGGTAATTTTTTGTTAAGAGTTTATGCAACACATGGAAGCTTGATTTCAATATTTGAATTAAATTGAAAAAAGTAGCACAAATAAATACAATAGAATAAAGACACAAATAAAGAGACATAAAAAGAAAAGTTTTCTTTTTATGAAAAGGTCAGAAATACTACAGAAACTGAATAAAGTAATCCAATGTAAAATAACACTGGATAGTCTTTTAGTCCTGACTGAATTAAATACATAGGCTGTTAATTCTGATTCCTTACAATTAATGCTATATTTTGTTGTTTTGACAACAAAATGAATGACAGACACATATGGCTGCGTTCACTTTAAGAGCTAGTGCACGGATCCATTACTGTTTCATTATACTGTCTGTCAGACGCGTTTTATGCTTATTTAAGACATAACCGACTGTCTTTACGAGGTTACTCACCAAGACCAGAGTTTTGACATAATTTTGCATGTTTTTAACTGATAAAGCGATATAATCCACGAAAAAGAACTTGTGTTACTGGCGAGCTGTTTGTGAGGCGGATTTAGGATTTACTGTATGTGCACGCAGTGAAAACATCTCTGAGAGCGCGCGAGCACTGAATAGTTTAAAAATGCTTAAATGTTTAAACTGGTAAAACTTAAAAAGACGTGAAAATGATAAACGTTAGTTACGATGCAATGCTGGCCCGATTGTGCAAGTGAATATTCCGTCATGTCCCGACTCCTAAACACGAGTGTGTATCGACGCCTGCAGCGCTTGACGCTTGCCTTGTGTCTTGACACAAGACGCAGCACTGAGAAGCCCTGAATATGGAAAAAATCGATTCGTGGCCATTGAGAATCGATTTTGAATCGACCACCTTTTTAAAAACGATTAATCGAAAAATCTATTTTTTCCCCCAGCCCTAATTACTATTATTATATTATATATTAAGACCCTTGATCCTCACCTGACGGCTTGTAAACTTTATCCATGATGTGGTTTATAATGGACTGTGGTACAGAAACAGTGACAATGTTACACACTCTTGGCTTACTCTGGCTATTCTCTGCTGTCTCCAGACGACAATATGTTTGTCCCGTTTTAGCCACCGTAGCTTCTTCGGAAGGGAGGGGTAAGCGGTGGGCTGAGCCCTTAGTGCAAACTCACAACCGAACCGCTAGATGTCGCTAAAAATCACACACTACACCTTTAAATTCAATTAATGATTATCTTAAAGTGGGTTCTCCCTTAAAAGAAAATCCCTGTTAATGCTATCCTATTAAATGACTATATGTGTCAACTCGTCATTTTGCATGTCAAATTAAGTTGAAATTAAATCTCACTGTGTAATAAGTAACCTTTATCTTTAATCTGGAACAATGGGATTTTTCGCTTCTATTAACATGACTTCTAGGAATACTGTGTGAACTTACTTGTGGCATCAAATGTTTGAAGTTACAGAAAAAAAACATCAATGGTTTCCCTCAGTTCTAATCTACATTAATAAAATATGTACATGCTGCTGCTATTCTGGCACAATATAATGGAGTTTCAAAGCATTTCAAGCTTGATTGCAGATGAAAGAAACTGCAAGCATCATTATGATCTGTAGTGATGTTCACACTGCAGTAAAGGAAACATTTATGTCAGCCAGTGGCCCAAAAATAAAAAAATAGTTTCATAATTGACCTTCCACCTTGTGTCTTTCTCTGAGATCTTTCATTAAATTGCCTCCTGTCCATTAGATGGAGCCAGTGCTCCTGATTGATTACTATTTATCTGTTTAACTCACTGAGTAGGGAAAAGAGGAACAGCTGTGAGTTCCTGTGAGATCAGAAAAGTTTGCTGACAGAGCTGTCATTTGTGTCACATTTTACACCAAACAACTAGTTTATAAAATATATGATTGACCATCTGTTACCATCATTGAATTGTTCATCTTGATTGAACTGTGACAATATGGCTGCCACCTCACCCATTTCTGTCACAGATTCTGTCTGCTATCTTTGCACTTCTTTAAAAGACTCTGTTGTTCTAAGATGTTGCCACAGTTTGTGCAAAAACTGTCTACAAAGCTACTGGGAGCTCAACAAGTCCCTGGAGTGTCCTGTTTGTTTGAGGGAAACGCACTGTTCTGTTCTTCTACATCATTTAAGTATTTCTCGCTTTTCCTCAGAGGATGAATCCTCTCAAGACAGTGACTTCAAACCACTCCATGTGGGGGATGTTGAAAGTGAAATGGTAAGTGAGCTGCACTTTTACTAAAAAGAAACTGCACTTTTAACTTTGATCTTGAAATATAACTTTGGCTAAAAGGATCTGCTCTAATCCAGAAAAAGATTTTAGGGACTGTCTTATGAAAACAGCTAAGTAGGAGAACAAAACTAAACTATTTTAATAAAATAAAATTCATCTGATTTAAATATTGTATCAGTATGTTTGCATTTTATGGAATAAATAGTTGTAGTAGAAGAGTATTTTTTTTTTTACCTACTAGATTGCTACCGTTTATTAAAAATGTGTAGAAAGTATACTAAGTCAGTTAAAGCTCTTTCCAGACTAAGTCAGAGATGGGAATAAAATTTTCCACTTCCGACCTCAAAGCCTTCCAGTCATTCTGCAACACAGACATCTCATAGTTTCCCTGCCTCCCCTTGAAAATGACCAGTGGAATTGGTAATTGGCAATTGATTTAGTAGCTGCCATATTATAAATGAAGTCAAATTATGCTTTTCTCTGAAGTTGGGGCTGATCAATCTGTCGGATGTCTGTACCAGTGGTTATTTTCAAGTAGGAGATGTCTGTTTTGCATATTTATTACTGTATGAGTCATCTCTGACACTGATCTGATTGATCTGAATGCATACTTTGAATACAGTGTAAGTTGCTTTGGATAAAAGAGTTTGCCAAATGCATAAATGTAAATGTCTATGCTAACACTTATAGCAGTCAGTGAAGAAGGAGCTATCAGATATAATGAGCACAATGGCCAGCATCAAGACAGAAGACGACATTAGTACCATGGTCCAGATGTTGATGGAGGTCAAACATGAACCGACTGAAAAAGACATATCAGCAAACATAGAAGAAAACCGTATACATGGACATACAACTTTGGACATTGCCTTTGTGAAGGTAAGGTGTCAAATGCATCCGCATATGTCATCCTAGCTAAGAACAACTTTTCTAAACTTGTTTTGTTTTTGTTTTTTTTAAAGAAGGAGCAGTCCAATAAAACCAGGTGAGTGTCCCATCTTCTCATGAAATTGACCCTTCGCTAAGCCCCGCCCTCCTTAGTTACTGTTGCTATGCCTGTCAAGCTTTCGCGGCTGCCACGTCTATTACAGTGTGAATGCACCGGTGTCAGACATTCCCAAGGAGATATTTAGTCATTTTTGGCGAACAAGTGAAATACCTGAGAGAGCAAGACAAAAGGGACAGCAGTATGCATTCGAGGGATATATCCACGACATAATATGCAACCGATTAGAGAATAATTTCATCAAAATTGAAGCTAAAGCCTATAACGTTAGGTCCCAGCGCAAGCAGCAGCCGCCTCCTTAGCAGACCATTCAAATGGGAAACACAAATTGAACAGCTATGTTCATGCACAGCAGAGTAAGTGAAATGTGAAGATAATATAATAATTACAAATCAAATAGTTTATCCATCAATCTAACACCGGGAGAGCCGCGATCGGATTGGGGTAAAGTTACAGGGGTAAAGTTACAGGGGTAACGTTAGTAGGCCGTCGATTAACAAAATGCTGAAATATATTTTAAAGTATGTCAGTGAGCCTCCGTCTTGCCTTTAATCGTCTTATTTTACGTTCAAATATATGCATTATGAACAAAGAACCGCCATTATTTCCAAGCAATAGGCGTTTTTTTTTTTTTTTTTATCCTGTCGACATTTAGTTGTGAATGGGTCTCCAGCTCCACACTGCTTGATCCACGCCCGGGATTTCTCCCCTTTGGCTTTTAGGTTTCGGGAAGAGAAAAAATGCCACCCCACCGTCCAAACTTTTAGAATACCGGGTATCAGATTTGCACAATCCATACGCACAACGCGTCGGCATGTTTCCCTCGCTCGAAAGCTTGACAGACCTCCCGCGCCTAGTTACGGTTGCTAAGCCACGATTGGCCAGTGGCGGTTTTCGGGCGTGGCTTAGCGAAGGGTCAATTGCAAAGATCTCTCGTTAGTACATAAATGCTTTGAAATAAGCATTAATATCTTGCATAGTCAACTTCCTTTGCTTCTCTTAAAAGCCTTTGATTTATATATAATTTACTTCTAGTGATGAGGAAATACATACAGACATGATACTACATAACACAGCTCCTGCACCCAGTTCCATCTTAATGGAACCCAATGACTCAAGAGAGAATCCTAACCCGCCACCACCCACAATTACTTGTGGATCATTAAGGTCTAACCTTTGTCCAAAATGCGGCAAGAGCTTCAAAAGAAAAGCAGACCTCAAAGCCCATGAGAAGGTCCACTCCTTGAAGAAGTCACACCAGTGCTCCACTTGCAGAAAGTGTTATGTCGATAAACATGAGCTTTCCTTGCACATGCGGCTACACACCGGCGAGAAGGTGTTGGACTGCCCTTATTGCAAGAAAAAGTTTGTCAGGGAGAGTGGATTGAAGTCCCACTTGAGGAGCCACACGGGGGAGAAGCCATTCTCTTGTTCACAATGTGGGAAAAGCTTTTCTCGAAGAAGTACGCTAAATACTCACCTGCGTTTGCACCTAGGCACCCTGCCCCACCAGTGCGATCATTGTGGGAAGCTTTTCAACACTGCGGCAGCTATGAGAGTCCACAGGGCAACCCATACCGGAGAGAGGCCCTTTCCATGCCCGCAATGTGACAAGAAGTTCATCAATAAAGTTGAACTGGATGTACACCTACATATCCATGCAGGGAACAGACCGTTCAGCTGTTCAGTATGTGGGAAGAGTTTCTTGAGGAAGCAAGAACTCAACACTCATCAGACCATTCACCAAGACAACCGCCCCTTTCATTGCATACACTGCGAGAGCAGCTTCAAAAGGATGAGCCACCTCACATCGCACATGAAGATCCATTTCTCCGACACCCCTTACAAATGCAAACACTGCGGCAAGCCCTTCAAACATCCCAACAGCCTCAAAATGCATGAGCGTCTTCACACCGGAGAAAAACCCTACAGTTGTGAATGCTGCGGGAAAAAGTTCCCTTCTTCAGGAGAGCGCTCAAGACACATGGCCGTACATTCTGAGGAGAAATCGTACAAGTGCCCGAAGTGTGACAAGAGCTTTCGCTTCAGGAGTAGTATGAGGTCCCACCAGGTCACACACACTGGAGAAAGACCTTTCCAGTGCAAGAAGTGCGGTCAGAGCTTCGCTAGGCGTGCAAATCTCAAAAGTCATAAGGTGGTGCACACCGACGAAAGACAATACAGCTGTTCTCAGTGCGGTCTGGCCTTCAAGTCCACCTCTACTCTCAGGAGCCACCTGATAATCCATTCCAGCAAGTCCCTGTTAAACTGCACCACCTGTGGCAAAACCTTCACTCGCCAAGACACCTTCAAAAGGCATCAAGACGTTCATGCGGGGATCAAAGTCCACAAGTGCTCAGAGTGTGGAAAATGCCTGAGTTCAGCAAGTTGCCTGAAGCTGCACATGCAGGGTCACTCGGGGAACAAGAAAATGTACAACTGCGACGAATGCGAGAAGAGCTTCAGTTCCACGTCCTATCTGCAAAAACACCGGCAGATCGCACACACCGACGAGAAGCCGTATGTTTGCTTTGAGTGCGGGGAGAGCTTTAACACAGACGGGAAGCTAGTTACTCACCAACTACAGCATTCAGGACAGATGGAGCATGTTTGCTCCCATTGTGGGAAGACGTTTGCACGGAAAGAGACTCTAAGACGACATGAGAAGATGCACTCTGAAGTGAGGCCTCACCAGTGCTCGGAGTGTGGGAAAGGATTTACAAGGAGCGATCAACTAAAACAACATCGGAGAACACATTCAGAGACTAATTAGATGGATGTAATATTTTCATTTTGAGTTCTACTAAATTTCATTAAATGTTAGTGAAAGGAGTTGCTACTAAATTGATGTAGCCTGGTAATATGCACAGGATTGGTTTGATTAACATTTTCTTTTGCTATTGAATCATATTTTGTCCATGCATTTTTGGACCCCACTTGAGTTTATTTGAATGGCACTTTGTACTAGTGGCACTAGATGGCAGTCTGTGCTTTGAGACAGAATTGTGGTACTTAAAAGGTTGCTGAAAACCCAAAGTCGCAAAACCTTCTATAAAATCGTGAAAAATAGAGGCACTTCAATGTTAAAGTAAAAGATAGGAGGAAATATGTTATTTTGTGCTTTTTGTTTTGTTTGTGTTCTGTCATTAAAGAAAATGATGTACTGATGTGATGGGATTTTTATAAAAAACTAAAAGATCTCAAAAAGTTCCCTTTTAAAACAGCACCTCATGTGTTTGGTTTGCCACGTTCCTTTTCCATATGAGTCTGGTAAATCAGTAATGGCAGTTAAAAATGTAACAACAGTCCATGTGTCTAAAAATGAAATTGGATTTTGATGCAAATGGCACAGTTTCAGCAATATCAGCCAGAGGCGAGGACTAGCTCTTTGATTTAAATATGCTAACACTTTATCTGAAGCTGCTGTCTTTGCATTAACCTGCTCTTGTACCCAAAGGGTACAATAATGCCATGCACCGTGAAGAGGAATCACATAGACATATTAGACTCTGGGTCAGGTTACCAAATTAGATATTTGATGTATATATTTATTTGTATCTGGTTAAAAAAAGAGAGTTTAGCCTTTTTCTTTAATGCATAGTTTCTATAAAGCACAGTGCTGCATAATACCAGCTCTTGAATGTACATTTTTGTGCTTTTAAAGAGGTCACTTGATATAAAATTCAAAGCAGCACAGCTGAATATAGTCTAAAATTATATATCCATGATAGTGTTCACGCTTTCAGAAAAGCCACTCTTGTGAGTTCAATCTATCTTTGTGTCTATCTTTCATTGATTTTTTTTAACCAATCAAGTGTTTGTCTGTGTATTCCCATTTGTTCATGTGGATGTTTGCAGACTCAGATTCCACTCCAGCTATTTCATTCCCAGTCGAACAAATAAACATAGTAAGAAATTCTTAGTCTGGTCAGGGGAGAGTCACACTCTGTCTCCCTGACAACAGTCGCTAGGCAACTAACATTTGTCATCCCTTTTCTTTCTTACCTCATGTCCCGTTTCCAACCATCTGCCTTTAGAGTGAAGCCATCAAACCCTTTCAAATACAAATATAGTTCCTCACCTTGAGGAGCTGCTGGTTTACTTGCAAGAATCATTTCGACATCACAATTGCAGGGACAAACGTCAGACACATGCTAGGGTATCATAACAAATTGTCTTTATTCTCTCATTTTCAAAGACAGTGTGGATAACATTCATCAATAGTGAGAAACAAGTGAATGGTGCTGCCATGTTTGACCTTGGAACGTTTCCAGAACGTTGTGGTTTCATTGTTGTTGCATAAGCTTGTGTGGCCAGCCCCCACAGAAATGCTTGGTCCTATGGCATATTCAGTGGATTCCATGAGATATTGTGTTGTTGGGTCTAAAATGATGTGAGCTGGTGAAAATACAGAACAAAACTTGCCCATCTTTATAGGCTCTGTGTCTCCTCTTATGGCTCTTTATGTACATTTGTTTCAAAATATGCGCACATGGTATCATCCTTAAAGAGTCATACAACTCTAGGCCATATCACCTAACGGATGTCATTTGTGATAACCCTCACAATAAGGCTACAGCGATTTTACAGAACATCATTGTAAAAGAAACAAACAAGTCCTAAGCCTAAACATTAACTACCTCTAAAATCAGAGGGAAATAGAGGGTTCACGACTTGCATTAGCATTGCTCTATGGAATGAAGCATCAAGCATTGCATGGCACTCATGTTCACACAATTCAAATTTTGACCTAACTGACCTTTTAAAGCATAGCCAGTGACAGGTTCAACAATCTGTTATTTCACACAAGATCGTACCTGTCTCGTGATGTCCTTTGAAAGTACACAGGTTAGGTGTAAAAATGTATAAAGAAATTTAGAGTGGCAATTTTTTTTTTCACAAGCATCCTGAGACCTCTGTTACAGATCTAATTTTAATTCAACAAAAGTTAGCTAAGACAGCGACAACGTTCAAAAAGTTTTCTAAGCTCAAATGTTTTCACTGTTTATTGTGTACACTACCCACTTTTTTGCTACCATGCTCTGCAATGTCCTTGATGCTTTCTGCAACGCTTCTCATGTAGATGGAAAAGCAGCCAATGATGCTTTAGATGAAGCCCTGATGCAAGTCATATGAAAGGTCCTTAACTCTAATACATTGATTGAAACAACATTCCTATCAACCAATCATCCACGTCCACATTGGCGAAATCACAGTAAGCCTCATGATGAAGACGATATGGGAAAAAGACATTACATGCTTTTAGATGACAAGACAAAGTGGGCCATTCTCAATATTGCTTGTCCTAACATCTGGTCTTTTTGGTGACAAATCATTTAGGAAAGTCAAGTGAGAGAAAATTTAAAGTACAGTTTTAACCTGAATTCAGGGCAGTATGGCGTTGATTAAAGGTGCCTTTTTCGATCTCTGAGACTTGTATTTAGCTACTGTATGCAGCTAAATACCAAATACTATATATTACAATTGACCCGTATAAAGGAAAAGGAGAGTTGGTAGGTTTATTCTCTTGTCAGACAGATTTGAGTGTAAACATGGCTTCCTTTCATTATAGACGGAGGAGTCAAATTAGTTCAATGGTAATTTGACACAACCGAGTTATTCTCTAGAGTTTGCTCTGTCTCACTCTGGGGACTCTATCAACGTGCTCTCCATAGACCAATCTGCTTTCTCTGCCAGCACTGATCTCCTAATATTGCCTTCTTTCTTATTTTATTCTCATTAAATAAAAGGTCTGTGTATATTACTCCCACCACATTGGTGTTTTAATTATGAGTGCATTCAATTGATGTTAATATCAGAAGAATAACAACATTTTGCTGTTGTATTACAAAATGTCCCATTACATCTTAAAACAATCAATTAGTATGTGATTTTGCTCCCTGTGGTTTTTATTAGTCATTATAAGTGAATATCTGAGTATGTAGGCCTACTTTAGGCCTGATTGACTGAAGTCATTACTGTGAGTCAAAGATTACATTTCAATAACAATTGTTTAAGCGAGAAATTCATCAGTGACCAATCACAAATATTGCTTGTGTTTGAATATTTTCTTACTTGTTTTCAGAATTTATGACAAGTCAATTAATTCCAACCACAAACCAGGAGTATGTGCTTTCGAAAGCATGTTAAATGAGCTGTACGCCACTTTTTCACTTCAATCGTTCATCACGCTACGGAAACCGCATATGCAAACTATTTTAGCAAGTCCTTATTCCGCTTGTAAACAAGGCCCTTGAAGGAACAATTCCCAATTACCGCAACTGGACGGCTGTTACTAGAACAAAAAAAAAAGAAATATCATTAGCACTCCTCTGCAGTTCTGTGCTGATTCACCCCCATATTTTCGATTAGTCACAAAGCTTTGTGATTAGTCTCAAAGCAAATTCCTTGGGTGTCATATGCCTCCGCAATAACAGAGTGCACAAGGAAACATCACCACTCGAGGGTCAACACATCAATCGTTGGGATGAGATTAGCCAAATAATAAACTTGATCTGTATCACTAAATATTATACATGTCATAAGACCTGTCATGAGTTTAGTTCACATTATGATTAACACGGTGTCCTAACCAGATATGATGCAATGAAGCGATATTTTGTTGGTTGTTTGGTTTTAACTTGTTGGCTGTGATGTCAAATAGCCCCGCCTATAGTGAGATCTCATTGGTTCAAAATCCTGTACCATACAACTGTGTATAAAACATCAAATACCTTCCCATTGGCTTTGATATTGTGTTAAAAAGTTAAGTAAAGCAAATTTACAAAGTACCAATGAGCGCATTTGAGGAAGAACTAATAACTGGATCTGCAAAAGTTTTCCAGGTTAGTGGCATCAGATGAACAAAAGATCCTCAAGACTTTTGTTTTTGATCACAAACCTCAAGAGAAATTTTAATCAAAGTCTTTAACATCTTCCACTATTTTTTCTGTACAAATAGTTATTTGCAATTATTTGAATAAATGTTTTATTCAGCAGTCTATTATTTTGGTTTCTATTTTAGACAAGCATGCCTCTATATGGAGTGTGAAATATAACAAACTGTGGTATGCCGCTTTACATGACGGTTCGTTTTTCCTCTTCTACTAGAGATGCCAGGCTACGCGAGACTACGCTTGGTTAGGACACAGTATTTCTCAGAGCCGTAACCACCATTACATTATTCCAATTAGTAGTCGACCAATTGGGCTGCACAATATATCGAAAGCATTTCACTAAACCAATGTTGAGATATCGATTTGATCAAAGCACCAGGACTTTGATTTAATGAAATAAATAAATGCACTGCATGTTTCAGATTGAAGCATGGCACTGTGTTAATTTACACAGTGGCAAACAAAGCTGGAAAGTTAAATGTTTGAAAATGAAAAAATCAAGACATAAAATGTAATATTGTAATTTTACAGTTACTACAAATAAAATAATTTTAATTAAACACTATATTGTTTTCACAGATTATTTTATAGTCAGATTGAATGGGTCAAAAACACTGGGAATGTGGTCAATGAAAGCTCGCGTGAAAAGAGATTTTTTTCTTTTCTGTTCACTTTATGGTTACTGAAAGAGTGTGAACACCCACATTTTTTAAGTTTTTCCAAATTATTCATCCCTAAAAGTATGATTCAAACTAAAAAAAAAACAAATCTTCAGAGTAAAAAGTCATTTTTTATATTTAGTTTAAATTATTTTTATTTTATATGCAGAAGCATTCCTCAAGAAAATGACCCCAATCATTCTAAAATTATTATATTTTTCCAAATATAGCAACTTAAAGGAATAGTTCACTTCAAAATGAAAATTCGGTCATCATTTACTCACCCTCAAGTTGTTTCAAACCGGTATGAATTTCGAAGATATCAAAGGAAGATATTTTGAAGAATGTCGGTAACCAGACAGTCGATGAACCCCATTGACTTCCATAGTAGGAAAAACCCCCGCTATGTTAATGGAGTCCATCAACTGTTTGGTTACCAACATTCTACAAATATCTTCTTTTGTGTTCAGCAGAAGAAAAAAATTCATACAGGTTTGAAACAACTAGAGGGTGAGTAAATTATGACATATTTTTCATTTTGAAGTGAACTATTCCTTCAATTCACCTGGTGAAAATTCCTGTAATTTTTATTTAGCAGAAAAACAAAATAATAGCAATGCCAGTCTTTTCTTCTTCTTCTAATATCGTGCAGCCCTATCGACCAACAGGGTTTTTTCAATGACTGATTCGGTTCACTTTATTTGGTTTCCTTAAACCTGAAAATTCTATTCTTGTGCAGGTAGAGTGAGAAAAGCTAAAAAGCTAAATCCATGCATTAACTAAAGCATCTTATTCTGTGCCGGTGGACCTTTTTTTTACTACAAAACTTTTACTACGATTCTGCATCCGTGCTGTGTCAGCATGCTTCTCAACAGGGACTTCTACAGGAGCTATTCTATCGCCACTAACAGCCTGTCACAGTCAGCATGATATACTCATTATACTGATATCCAGCGCTATATTTGTGTCGTCCTGTCCGTTTCCAGGCCTCTCGCAACCTTAAAGGTCATGTTCTGTCAGGATAGTTTACACACTGCTAGGTTTCGCTGCACCACTGTCACATTCAATGACTGAGAGACTGGTATAAACAACTAATTTCACACATACTAGTTTAGGTAATATCTCCAGAGAATTATCTCCTCTGTGAAGTGGTGTGGCAACACTGTCTCTTATCTCCTCACCTGTCAATCTCACATGCAGTTTCTCCACTAGCCTCCTTTAACACCTCTTCTCCCTTCTCTCTCTGTGGTTTTCGGTTACATTAGAGCGCTGAGGTCATGACAAGAACGTGACTTCTGCCTGAGCATTCTGCTTCCTCTGTGTCTGCTGAGGTCTCTGTCGCCCTCCCTATCCCTGTCTCGGCCGAGGTGGGAGCGCGGGACGAGCCCTGACAGAAAGCGTTTGGCCCTGCTGGTCAAGCTCTCTCGGCGGGCCGTTGCGGGGGACCCCTCCGTCCAGCCGGGCCCCAGGCTGTGGCCCCGGGCCGCCCTCACGGCCGCTTCTAGGAGGTCATTGGTGCGGTGGTCCAGAGAGACGGAGAGCTCTAGATACAGGCAGCCAAACATCATTGCGCTGGAGTGTGCCTCTGAGAAAGAAAAAGAGAGAGAGGTTGAGTGATACAGATGCAGATGGAGTTTGACAATCTCTTGTCATATCAACACAGATTAGCGTTAGATAACTGAATCAATTGAGTGGGACTTAAAGGAGAAATAAAGGCTAAATGCTTGCCGTGTGTGTGGGAGTGTTTGTTCGGAGGTGTGTGGACAGGATTGAATTAGATCACTTTAGATTTCGACTAGACGGCACCATTGTAAATAAGTGACATGACCTGAGAGAAGAAACAAACAGATGAGGAGGAGGAGACAGAGAGAAAAACACAGGAAACAGACAACATTTACCATGCCAATCCACAGATGAGGTGTAGTTTTATAAGTGGTGTATCATGAAAATTGACTTTTTGTAGAATAAACATTTCAGTTTGATGTAATAAGTTTTAGAATTAGAAGATACAGTACTATTTCCGATGGTAAAGTCATAACTAACAACAAGCCCACCAAAATTTGTGTTGATCCTGGCTGTAGGTCATTGTAGCCTTCTGAAAGATCTCAACCTTAGAAATAAGTGGCTTGATGTTTATGGCATTCTTGTTTACCAATTAAACCTTAGCAGTTTTTGTGACACATTTCAGCATGGATTGTTTTGAGAATCTGTCACAGGCTTTGCAAACCAGCCACATAGTGTCGGCCCAGATCTGGTACACGTGGATTTCACACGCACCAGATGTTGGCTGGATCTGGGCAGACACTATGTTGCTGGCTGGGAAGAGACTGCTATTAAGAGGATGGAACAGTGGCTACTAGATTGGATCTGATAGATTGGATTTCTTATAAATTTAAGCAATTTGCATGTGTTTTGGCACATGTGTGCAAAACAATTGTCTACAATTTGCACATCTAAATGCACATGGCTTGTTGATCAAAACTGATGAGTTGATTCTCAGTGAAACTGTCAAACTCTTCACAACTTCTAAACATTATTTCCTCGTGTGAGCCTCCACATGCAAAATGATCCATTCAGTTATCAAAATAAGTCAGACATGCATGTATATTCCATAAATACCTATGTCTGCTGAATTGACAAAATTAATGGCCTGCCATTGTAGTGAAATAGAAATAACAATCGTACCAATCAACCAATCAAGTTTGGAAGCATACAGTAGGCTATATGGAGTTTGCCCAGCACAATCACTGCCATTTTTGAACATGCAGGAACATCTAAATCCATAAACAGCAACAGCAGTTTATTTTTGTAGAAACTGAAAATACACAGTTGCTTGTCGTGGAAAAGCAATAGGAAGAATGTGTGGTGTTAGGGGAAGAAATACTGTAATAGAATATGTAAAAATTAACAAGCAACTGAATTTTCAGTTGACATGTACAGCATTTCTACAAATATGTGCCGTATAAATAAAAATGTTCAGTCCCACTTTATATTAGGTGTCTTTAACTACTATGTACTAACATTTAGCAAATTAATAATTTGATACAATGCACTGATTGTGTATATGTTTTACGTTGTACTTATATATAAAAAAACCTGCATGTAATTACAGCTAAATCTAGAATTACACTGTTGACTACTCCCTTACCCCAGAAACCACCCCAACCAAGCCTGTCCCTAACCGTACCCATATCCCACCTCAACAGCACCAAAAGTGTTTTGCAATACAATATGAACACAATAAGAACACTTTTATGTAAGTGCATAATAGATAAGGACACCTAATATATTTTTTTCTTTTTGAGTACTACAGTATTGACTTTTCCTAGTAAATTTACTTGCTGAAATCTATATCCAAAATATGTGATACACAAGACTCAAGAGCATTCAACTAGACAAAACTGACATTATTGTATAGTGTAAAAAAAAAACACAGTGTCCACTAAAAAGTAGAAAGCGTGTGAAATTTGTATTTAACAAATATACCCCAATAAAACAAAGTACTCTGTTATCTTGAAACAAAAGAGAGAGAGAAGAAGGAGAACCCATTTGTTGTGCCACAGCAGACAGGAGATGTATTGTATGTGTGTAGCATTACAGTCCAGAGTTGTAAATTCTGTTTATGGCTATAGACTCATCTTCACTTGCATAAGGTTAGGCGTCTCTGTTTCAATGATTTAGCCTGTATAATCAGAGTCTGTGTGCCTGTTTAAATATGGCTTGAATGTCAGCATCAAATAGCTGACTCGCAAATACAGAATGTAAATTAAACCCATTTACATGAAGCTGAGTACACAGTGTGTGTGCGCTTGTGTGTTTGTATCGGATGCAGGAAGCGAGATATAGACAGAAAAAGATTCAGAACATTTCCGAATCGATGACCACATGAGCTGCAGCACCCGGAGGAATAAATATGCTAAGCACAGATGTGTCCGCAAAACCGTCCTCTGTACTTCATACAAGGTCCTTTTCTCCATGCCACACCAATCTGATGTGCTTGTTAGTGGTGCTGACACTCATACTTGGGGTTAAAGATTTGAACAAACCCCTAACCCCCATAACCCGTCCCATACAGTTTGTGCTCTGGACATAAATGATGCATTCAAATTGTGCAGCTTGAGAAGAGTGCTATCAAAGTGTCTTTAAAAGGCACTCTAGCCATCTCTGTAAGAGCAATTTTCTTAATATAATAAATCATTTTCTAATTTTTCTATTTACAATTTGGGGGCCAGTAAGATTTTTTTTTTTTTAAATGTTTTTTATGCTCACCAAGGCTGCATTTATTTCATCAAAAATATATTGTAATAGTAATATTATGAAAAATGATTATAAAATAACAGAATTTTCAGCATCATTATTACTCCAGTCTTCAGTGTCACACGATCCTTCAGAAATCATTCTAATATACTGATTTGGTGCTCAAGAAACATTTATTATTATCAAATGTTGAAAAAATTGTGCTTCTCAATATTTTTGTGGAAACTGTAATAAAATAAAATAAAATAAGGGCTCTTTGATGAATAGAACGTTTAAAAGAACAGCATTTATTTGAAATATTTCAAATAAATTTCAAAAAAACATTTGATAGATTTAACGCATCCTTATTGAATAAAAGTATTAATAAAAAAACAGTCAAAGTTAACATTCATTGAAAATATGAATTATATTTATATATTATATTGTATATTTAATTAATGCTTTTTTAACCTTCTCATACTATTTCTTTATGAAATCTAATGAGTTATATGTATATTGTCTTCTGAAAAGAAGTCATTCATAACCATGTATAGCAATCATATAGAACTTAACAGCATCCAATGGTCCATGCTTGCAACCACCCAAAACACCATATAAATACCCTAGCAACCACTCTGAACACCATAGCAACACACTAAAGAACCTCTTAGCAACTGCATATAAGCACCTTTGCAACCTCCACAACATGGCCATTTACATTTCCTTTTGACAATGTAAAAAGTTATTTAGTAGACTTTTCTGCTAATTTGCCATATTGATGACTAACAGCGGGGCAAAGTAATAGTAGTGATTACAAAAACACATGAATAGAGATACCAAGAAAAACATTGGACTGGACTGGATTTGATCCAAGGTCTCTGAAAAGATGTTTACAAATCCAAAGTTAGCAAAAACCCTGCTAAATCTAACTTTCGTGGACATCTATTTAGTGTTGGGCAACGATTAATTACGATTAATCGCATCCAAAATAAAAGTTTGTGTTTACATAATAAATGTGTGTGTACTGTGTATAATTATTTTGTATATAAAAATACACACATATGCATTTATTTATTAAAAAAAAATATTTACATGTATGTGTATATATAATCCACGATCTATCTCCAAATAGCACCAATATACAGAGAATGCAGGCATATAGAAATGGGTTATACAAATGTATATAAATGTCCTCATTGCTGTGATTCGCCATTCCTTTGCCCTGCAGTTGGTCATAATATGGAAGATGAGCAGCAAAATCATTTGACTGCTGAAGCAGAAGAATACAGCTTATACTGGATGTAATTTTCCAAAAGAATAGAGCACCTCTGATGTCATCCTTCCTATGGCACCGCCCTGTTATCAGCTCTACATAAAAGTGCCTGCACACCATTTTCTTAATGATTACAACACACTAAGCTTCACTTTTTCCTTATCCTCCTTATCACAGTCCTGCAAACACATGGCACAGGGGGTTCACTTCACCACGCAGGCGAAGAAGAGAATTAGAGAAAGAAAGGTGTGAGGGAGAGAATATGGGAGCATGTACTAACATTGGCATACTTTAACACACAAACACACACACACACACATAAAGATAGTAACACCAGCACATTGTGGGTGAGATAATACAGAGCAAATACACAAAAAAATGTCCCAAACATGCCAAGCATGACAAACAGATGATAGAGAGAGAGAGAGAGAGAGAGAGAGAGAGAGAGAGAGAGAGAGAGAGAGAGAGAGAGAGAGAGAGAGAGAGAGAGAGAGAGAGAGAGAGAGAGAGAGAGAGAGAGAGAGAGAGAGAGAGAGAGAGAGAGAGAGAGAGAGAGAGAGAGAGAGAGAGAGAGAGAGAGATAGAGTGTTTTTTTCAGCATGACTACAGAAGATTGAAGAAACAAGAAGCACTATGCCAGTTTACACCAAGGGGACATGTGCATCTTCAGGCCATGTGAATTTTATATGCAACTTTAAAACACAATTTTCAATATTGTATGTATATATGCTTATTAAATGTAAGGGTAGGCAATTTTTATTTATATCAACACTTTTTGCTCAACTGGTTGAAACTCTCTTAACATCCTGATAGCAATCAATAATAGAAGTGGTCTAAATATTAAAACATACTTATATCTTCCGTGGAAGCCTTATATCTTTGAAAAAATGTTCGTCCAATCATTGCATTCAATCATTGTGACTCATATTTAGGCTATGCGTTTCTGTCAAAACTATTAATGGCGAGATGGATCTGCAGCAGTCAGGCTGTACAAGTAAGAGCTCTGTGAGTTGTTTCCGTTCATTATTATTGTAATGTTATGTGAGACATGAGGTAATTTAACGCCTTCTCTCATCTCGTGACGCTTTGCAGAGACAGCTGTGTGTGTTCATGTGTTTTGAAGGAGGCGTGGCTTTGGAGATGCTCTATAGGGAGAGTGGTATCTTATGATTTTAAAGCTAATTTGCGATTGCTAGCCTCTCCGAAATTGCCTACTCTATCATTAAAATGCTGTTGCAAAAAAAAACATGAAATTCTGCAAACAATCATATATATAATTATAAGATATATATATAAAAGAATATTGTAGTATAAATGCCCTAGCAACCACTAAAAACATTATTGCAACCACCCACCAATGTGTATTTTCAAATGCAATTTCTTCACGTACATTGTAGATGACTTTTTTTTTTAAATACCGTGGCAGAAACCACTCAAATTAAATTGAACTGACTTGAGTAAAAAAATCAGTATTTAATAAGTATTTAATTAATTTGCATTTAAAATGTACACGTACAGTATATGTTGAGTTAGTCACTGAAACAAAACTTTATCTGCCCTGCTGAGAAAACAGCAGAAAAGAGAATCTATATCCCATTTCAGCCCCTAATGTGTCCACTTAACCAATGCATGTCTCCTAGCAGCACCTGCTCATGGCGATAAGCTGAGTGATTTCTTCTTGCCAGGAATCCACGAAGCCCCTTATATAAATACGGGCAGATGGAGATAGAAGCATTTACACAAAAGCTGAGTCACAGCAGCAAGGTTAATATAGATGACTCATAAGTGTGGCAGACAGAGGTGGACCACGGGAGACCTTGTGTGGACTGTGTTTTTCAAAATACCTGTTGAATTATGGGATCTGTACTCTAAATTACTCTATTAAAGTTCCACAATTTTCTGCTATTATTCTCACAGCATTTAAAGTTGCCATTAAATGACTGTATACTTTCTAAATGCATGTTATTGATCTAACTGTTAATGATTCATCCATGCATGTTTTTGTATTTATTTTACCTGGTAATTTTTAATCTTAAAAGAAATGACATAACTCAAACTTTTGGTAAAACTTTCTGGTGATGTATGCCGAACTTCTCCAATCATTGTAGTGGAATCTCACAAATCTCCATCCAATCAACAACCGATGGATAGCAGCACCAAGTCCCCGCGCTACATTTTTTTATTTTCCAATAATACGTATCACTCAGTTGTACGAAAAAAAAAAGATCTATCACTACTTCCATTTTATCACAACTTTAACATACAGACTCCATTTTTATTTTGTTTTATTAATAATCTCAGCCTTAGCAGTCCAATATCTATTTTCAGGAAAAATAATATTATTTAAAACGAATAAATAAATAAATAAATATTATAGAAAATTTTAAATTAGTGAAAACCTCCCGTTGACTCTCATCGGCATTCAAAGTCTCACATGACCACACTGGTAGCCTACAGCAGCGTGACACAAAAAAGCTTGTTTGCTCCAATTATAAATGGAGCTCCTAGCACTGAAAACAATTGATATTGACATATGCCATATTTCTATTTTTGTCAGTCTGTAAAGCATCAGACACTAATTTCCTTTCTTATACTTCCTCATATATGGATATTGGATACAGTAAAAACAACAATATGGTGAAATATTATTACTATTCAAAATAGCTGTTTTCTATTTTAATTAATTTAAAATTTTATTTTAAAATGTAATTTATTCATGTGATGGCAAAACTGAATTTTCAGCATCATTACTCCAGTCTTCAGCTTCACACAATCCATCAGAAATCATTCTAATATGCCGATGCTCAAAATCTTTTCTTTTTATTATCAGTGTTGAGTTTATTTTTATGTTTAATATTTTTATGGAAACAGTGATATATCCTCCTGAGACCCAGAAAAAAAAAGTTTTTTGAATTTAGTTTTTTTCCATGTCATCACACTGTTTAGAGCACAATAAACAAATGGTAAAAAAACAAATATATAAAATAATATTTTATTCATACGTTATGCTATGTCCTCTGTAGTGGACGCCAGGACTAAGTTTTTAAAAAAATAAAATGACATGAAATTATATGTATAGGCAAAAACAATGGGATTTTTTTTTCAATCACCAATACATTTTGGGGTTTCAGGATTTTTTCAACCAAAATTTGTATAAAGATTATTCTCAACTATGTTATGAAAGAAATAATGGAATGAATTGATACACCATTTTACTTTTTGCAATATGTGGGTAAAATGGCCATAAGTTAATATTCCCATTCAATGCAATGTATCTATACACTGTATCTAATTTGCACATTAATGTGTTCTTGGAGCAACATTTAATGAAAAAATAAGGGTAATAATTGGAGTAATAATTGGCAACATTTTAATAATAATATCTAATATTTCATAGGAATATTGATGTATAATTTATTTCCATATTCACTTGTTGTGTCTCCCAGAATGCCTGATAAACATGGTTTTAGTCCTGATGTCCTCTACAGTGGACACGTTTGAAATCAATGCCCTGTTCTGTAACAGAAAGTAATTTTTTTATTTGAAACCCCTTAACATTTTCCTGAGATGTTGTTTTATGAAATACAATTTGAAAAGTAGTCCAATTTAAATTATAATTACAATATATTATCATATTTCCATAAGAATGCTACATTTGATCACTAAATTGATGTCAGACATTTTTAAAGACCAAGGAGAAGTTGTTTTCATGGTGAAACCTCCAAACATTTGGTGTCTCTGAAAAGTCCTGAATGTGCTCTTTACAGGACACCCAGGTTGTGTCATGTGACATGTATGATGTCAGAGAAATTCACTAAAATATAATGTCCACTACAGTGGACAAAAGTCTATTCTTGGGTCCCAGGAGGATATTTTAATAGCCTGGGAAAACCCAGACAACTTCCGGCAAATTTAGATTTGCTCTGAAAGTTAGTCTGGCAAAGAACTCATTCAAGCTCATTTCCAATCCGCCGAAATCACGGCACCAATCAGAAACGTTGGGGCGGGCTTTACACGATGACGACAGCGCTGGGATTTTGAAGCAGATTTTGTAGCCTACATTACAAAGATGGATGCCACCGTCGAACATCACTCGTTCGAATCAGCTATCGCGTCTGTTTTAAGCGATTTGAACGTTTCCTTTTAGTTAAAAACCGAGCAAAGAACAACACTCGGAGATGTTTTTTCCGCCGCTCTGCATACGTCATCTCCTTCATCGCTCTGATTGATTTTAGGTCTATCCGCGACGTCCGTTGGTGACGCCCCTCTGGAAATTATTTGTCTATGATGCTTTGCCAGACCATAATCAGTTACAACTGAGAATGGTCTGGTTTTAACCAGGCTAACATTTTAAGGTATTCTTTGCTGAATAGAAGTTCAAAAGAACATACTTTATTTTAAATAGAAATCTAAAATTATAAATGTCTTTACTTTCTCTTTTGATGAGCTTAAGGTGTCTTTGCTGATAAAAGTATCATTTAAAATTATAATTAAAAAAAAAACTAAAATCTTACCGAACCCAACGTTTGACCTGAACCCAATTCGGTAGTGTATATAATAAATTTCTATGATTTTTATTAATATTTCTAAATATTTTGACCATACTGACCGTTAAAAGTCCGTTATAATTTGTCCAGTGTAGACACAACATTGTAACTGGCAGTGATGATGTCATTCTAATATCTTCATACTGAATTCCAATTGGTCTATTTTGCATACCGAATTATAATTGGTCTTTTTCATTCTTAAATCTATTTCATATTACTATCAGTCTCTCTTTCTCTCTATCTCCTTTCTCTGTTTTAGTATCTCCGCATTTGTATTTGGGTTTACAATGTTTAATTTACTGTAAAACGCAATTCTTTCGTTTGACCTAAAACTGAATTCTTTTAATTCCCTGCATGTAATCTCTGCCAGCCATGCAACATGCGTTGAATCGCATTGAATTATGGGATCTGTGCTCAAAGACGTAGATTAAAAACAGGCCTACCCTCTGTGCTGATCTCACGGGAGCGCACAAGGTCACTCTTGTTGCCCACTAGGATGATGGGGGTGTGCGGCAGCGACTCCCTCAACAGTAGGCGGAGCTGGGCGATCCGGTGGAAGCTACGCCTGTCCGTCAACGAGAACACCAGGATGCACACCTCGCATTGCAGGCCGGACAGCTCCTGCCAATCACATCAAATCAAATCACAGACATACCAATTACAGCAGAGCTCAACTATGAGTGCTTATTATACAGGCTATTTACAGAGTATTACATGATTATTTGTCATTGGTACGGTAGGTCAGTAATGAGGAGGATTGTTTTTGTCAGTGTGGAGCTCAGGAGTGTTTGTGTCCACGAAAAAGAGGATTAGCAGGATTTGAGGAGGATAACCTCAAATCTAGGATGGCTTTGTTGTTGTTCCAGCTCACAATTTCAGCATTGCTGCCGCCACTGAGCTCAGGTGTGTTCGAAACGGCAGCAGATGCATCAGTCACGAGTTTACCCCCCGAGAACGTCACCACGAACGCTTTAAAGCACCAAAGTACGGGCACACAGGGGTCGGGCTTTCTCTTCTTGCCAGCTATGACAAGACTGCTGTCAGTCTATCTTTAATGAACTGAGGGTAGAAAGAAAATGTTTCCGTCCCCTATGGAACGCTTCCTATTTAATTTCCTACACAGAAAGAGGAACAGATAAATAGATGGAAAGCCTGTGTCCTACATCCCCTTTTCCCCAAAGGCGATTCCAGCCCTCTGGAGAGTTGCCTAAAAAATTCTCATTGCAGCCGAGCCAATCGCACTCGGCCCCGGAGGGTGCGATTCACACAACCTCAGAAACGCAGAGTTTCTCTGGAGAGGAAGAGTCTATTGGGGTGGAAGCAACAGGGAAGAGGGGGGCTCAACCACCTGCCACAACCCCACGCAGGAAGGGCACGGGGAGGAGGTTCTCTTCTCTGAGGAGCAGACACGTATCTTGATGAGCGGAGAAGACAGCATGACACGGTCGATAGTGCTCATCGTGATGGAGGGGCTCTCAGGGGCCGGACGGGCAAAGTAAAAGGTCTTTCCATCAGAGAAACAAGACGAGAGAGTACAGCAGTATCTGACTAATAACATCGAGCTCTTCCACTAAAATACAGACCCATCTGTCACTGTCTGCCCTTTCATGACCAGAATATACACACAAAATGATAGCTTTTAATGGCTCTGAATACAAACAGGCAGGTATGCGTGTGAAAATGTATAGCCTACAGTGCTATTGCAACACACACTCTTATTACGCTGTTTTTTATCACACAAACTGAGTGATTATAGTCATGAAACACACACACACACACACACACATAAAATCCGTATCATGCTGTCAGCAAATATGCCTGCCAGCTTTTTTGTCCTCTTGTGCAGATTTAGATTATTAAATCCTGCACTCTTAATAAATGCTGAAATGTTCTACATTTCAACCCTATAACAGCAGGTTAATGAAAACCTTCACGCTAATCCAGCTAAATGCTCATCCACAGGAGGTAGGTCATGTCAGGAAGATTCATTTGGTATTTATAATGTAGTAAAATGACTTAATTAAAAGGAACAAAATATCTCTTTGACTATTTCTCCACCAAAATCTCACAGTGGGCATATTCTGTTTAAACTTATCTTCTAAAAAATTGTAGTGCAGTTTCTGATGTTAAGTAAGCAATTAGTAGGTTGAATTCCCCTTAGAGTCTATGTGATCTTAACGTTGCTCTGTTAGTTGAAATTGCAATATAAAATGTGGTCAAGTAATTTTGGTAGGAGTAAAATGGACTCTCAGGACAATTTTATATTTCTCTCTTTTTCACTTCCCCAAAAAGGCAGGAAACTTTTTAGTGCTAATTCAACATAATGAAGAGCAAGAAATACACATTAGGTGTGTCATAGATGCTATGTTTGTATGTATGTATGTATGTATGTATATATGGATGTATGTACTGTATGTATGTATGTATGTATATATGGATGTATGTACTGTATGTATGTATGTATGTATGTATGTATGGATGGATGTATGGATAGATGGATAGATATGTTCAACATAAACAAAAGTATATGCTTAAGGTATGATTGTGTGTCATTTATTTTGTACAACAAAACATGAAAATCTCCTCAAGTAATGTTAACCATTTACTGAAACATTGAAAACTGCTATTCTAAACACCCAAAGCAAATTCCAGAGGGAACTCAAGGCTCACAAACTGAACAGTTCTATTGAAGATAAACAATCCCTTGGAAATCTATCTTTCAATTCCCTTTGGTGCCACTAGTGGTACAGAAATCACACTTCAGCTTTAAAACCCTGAAATTGTTTCTCTCTGCTCCTGTTGCTGTGGTTAAGCCTTTGGTTGAGGAAAAAAATGAGTTTATGGTAGGTCATAAAGCAGATTAGAATCCGGGCAAAACATGGAATTAAAATGTCCCGCAACTCATCTCCCACAGTGAACCCATTCCCAAGAACCGTGTTCCTTCTCAACTGGGTCATTTAACACAAACACACCTTCTTCTGACCACATCTGGCACAGGAAGATTACATGGAAATCAGGCCAGGGCCTGGTCCACGAGCCAATACAGAGAAAACATTGCAAAACATTGTATTTCATCAGTATTTCGGTCTTCTTTCCCAGTTAATTTTTATTTTATTTAAACAAGATCAACTTTATTGAGAAGAGAGTATATGAAATAAATATAAACATACAAAAATTACAATAAAAATATATTATATAAATTAAATATAAAAAAATATTAAACATGATTATATTATGAATATCATATTATAATTAAATATAATATTAAATATAATTAAATAACTCATCCATCCATTTTTCAAACCGCTTGTCCTATGTAGGGTTGTGGGAATGCTGGAGCCTATCCCAGCATCTTGGTCCGTAGGCTGGGAGACACCCTGGATGGCTGTTATTAAATAATATTAATATTGAATAATATTATGTATTATTACATAATTAAATAAATACATAAAAATTAACACACGCATAGATTATGTATAAGACAGAATACATTTAGAATAATAAGCATATGAAATAATATATTTAAATATGGAGAGGGATTTCATGGTGCATAAGAGACTTTAATTTGTTACTCCGTAGGGGGGAGAGGTCGAGTCTAATAATTGGATGTTGAGACTTAACCGTGTGCCAAGTTTGTTTCTGTGCACCAGAGTGAGGTCCACACCCCTGCAGACAGTCACCACAGACCATCTGTCCACACATCCCCTCCTCCCAAACATACACATTCGGCCCAAGATCCCACACACAGACTTACAGTACACCATCCCATCTAAAAGTGCTTTCTCAGCCGCTGAACAAGCCAATTCTGCTGCTATAAACACAAAGCACACATACCTCCACAGAAATAAAAACCCGTTTTCTCTGCCAAGCACACGATCATCAAAGAAAAAAACTCCTCCCTAATGAACGTTACAAAAAGCTCACAGTCCATAATGACACTAGGGCCGAGCTGTAGCACACTGTACTTAAACATAAGGCTCCCAGCAGTACACTACACACTCTGAGTGAGATAAACAGATGTATACTTCACACATTTACAAACTCCACCACCGCCTTGTCAGTGTTCACACACAATGGCCCTACCCAGTAAACAAAAACCATATGAGCCACTTAGCATCATCAATATTTCACCTCAAAGTAATCTATTAATTATAGCCAAGTCGAATAGCCCTAGTCTACCAGCTCATGACATGTCTGTCAACCATACAGTGACAGAAAATGGTAGCATCTTGTGTCATGGTCATGGCTGGCTAGAGCTAGGTTTCTCTGGGCTATGTTTAGAATGGCATACTAGTTGAATGGCAACTGCACAGTATATGCTGTATATTACTTGCATACTTATTTTATGAAAATAGCATACAAGTGCATGCAGTAATATGCAAAGATAAACATTTCAAATAGTAGAATGCAACATTACTTTGTTAATTTGCATGTTTAATGTCTGAAATGAATGCTAATGCTAAAGGGCTAGTTCACCCAAAAATACATGGATACTGTGGCCCACAATGCAGTGGGCATTGAACCTCCTTTCACTGGAAAAGGAGGTTCAATGCCCACTGGGCCACAGTATCCACAAAAATTCAGACAGATGTGGTAGGTATCATCTGCACAGAACAATAGTTAATAGTGCACTATTCCAAGTTTCGTTTCATTGTAAGCCTTTAATTCAAAGTGGCCAATAGAAAAAATTAAACTGTTCACACCCTATTTAGGCTGCAAATTGATTTCAAGTTGAGTTTTTGGCTCATGTAGTTGACATAGGTGAACAGAGAGGTTAGATCATGCTGATGCCTCCCGTGCTGGAACTCACTCATGCTGGAACACAGAAAATGGAGCGGTGACACGTGACGCAATTCCCATTGCCTAATGGTTGGGCGGGTGACGGAATGCGTCCTCAGCCTGCGTAAGGACGTTACTGACCATGTGCCAGCTATTTTAGGAAAGAGAATGACTTATTAAAGCCATTCTTCCCCCCGCTGTCACAAGCACTTCAAGTCTCAGAGCTAACTGAGGCTAGACTCGGGGCAGTGTACGTGATTGTACAGTACATTTGTGCGTAATCCAAACTCTAATTGGGCTGATGTGTCAGGTGTAGATTGGGTGAACTTGGTGAATCTGCTACAGAACCAAAATAGACCTGCATCCTCTGCAGCTACTAGTGATGCAGCACTGTGTGAAAATGAGTTCATTCACTCTCTCTCTATCTCTCTCTCTCTCTCTCTCTCTCTCTCTCTCCAATTCTCCATGGTTCAGTGTATGCAGTAAGTTGACAGTGAGGCTGGAGTCCACAGAACAGACTGCAACGTTAGAGTAAACTTACTGCACCCTCTTCACTGCATCCAAACATGCTGACCCTGTTTCACAATAAGGAAAGTGCTGACCTTCACAAAAAAAAACTTCAATTTAAACACATTGTGAGAAATTTGCTAAACTTTTGACACATCATTTTGCTGCTGCCTGAGTGCCTGGATCAAAGAAAACCACAAAAGGCATACAATCATTGAATGAGCAGCTCCTGCATCCAAAAGAGTGTGCGGAACAACAAACCGGTAAGCAATAACTCGATTTGAAGCAATTGGTGTCATGTTTTGCCCGCATTCTGCTGCAAATATAGAGTTATTCTTAAGCGAACCACACCATGTTCTCACACTTTAGTATGATTTTAGAGGTCAATTTGAGTGTTCACATTTACGCCAAAATGTTTTCGTACCTCTTGGAGACAGACATCTATGTAAATACAGCTACAAATACAGTAGCCTACTTCAAGCATGCAGATCAGTGTTTTTTTGGAGTATGTATTGTACACCCACATACCCTTCAAAAAGGCTCCAGCTACTCATCCAAGTACTTTTTGACTTCTAATATACTAGATATCATTTAGCTTTTATTCACATATTCATTCATTTCATCAACTCACACATCATTTGTGGTAAACAGCAGCTCAAGCTTGTTCGCTTGATAACCAATGAGGTTCATTCTCGTGTTACGCAGCAAGTTTGAGCTTCCGCAAGAGGTTCCTGTGCATCAAGCAGGTTCGGTTGAGTTTCTGTTAATGTTCGCTGATCAATGTATATGTGAATAAAAGCCTAAATTCAATCTGTTCATCATATAAAGTGATCGAGTCTCTTCAGAAATTTTTGGACTAAACAGCTCAATTCATATGGATTAGTTTTATCTCTTCAAGAACTTTTTGAAGCGTCAAAGTGGTAGTTGTGTAGACTGTCAATGGATGGTTAGAAAGTCTCAAATTTGCAATCTTCATTTGTGTTCCGAAGATGAAAGAAAGTCTGATGGGTTTGGAACGACATGAGGGTGAGTAATTAATTTCATTTTTGGGTGAACTAATCCTTTAAAGGTCCTTGCACACTGAGTCCGAAATTCTCGTCTGAAATTTTCACACGTTAAAAAATAAATACGACCTCACGTTATGTCAATCATGTTTGTACACTGCCTCCGAAACTTTCGTCCGTCATAAAAAAATTCAGATCGGGTTCGATTTTTTGCGTTTTAGCATCTGTAGCAAGCATTTTGAAAGGCGCTTTGACAGTTCAGAGCCACAGAATAACGAATACAAAAAATGCATACGAAAATTTCGGACTCAGTGTGCAAGGACCTTAAGGCATTAACTACAGAACAAAAAAAATCTAGTGATTAACAACTTAATCTTCTGAAAGGGCTAATTTCACCATATTATAGTCATGATTTCTGGTATCAAAATTTTTCCAAGTACTCCTGTATGGGAGTCATTGTAGTAGACTACAGACAAAACAGAACACCACTAATTCACTTTGAAGCATGCAGTGCATTGCAGACTATATTTTTCTTTAATTAAATCACAGCCTTTTATGGTTTATCATGCCAGGAAATATCGATTTTGATTGGATCAATTGTGCAGCTCTAACCACTACTCCAATAAACCTTGAAATAAACGACAAAGTAACTGTTTACTGACAGACTTCAGTTGAACATTCTTCATGATGAGGCTTCAATCCATAAGCTACAGATTGAAATCAGTGAACCATAAAGCTATAAGGGCAGCACTGAATCTGTGCATCTGTAAAATTACAATTAATCACTGCATAGTTTATCTGAGATCCTTTTGTTTGCTATAACCACCGGTAGCCATGGCAACCGGGGAACGGGTACAGAATGCAATGCAGTGGGTGAGGTCAGAGGTCACGTGATGCGATGTGCCACCGAGGAAGAGAGCCGGAGCTGGTTAGACGGAGAGAAAGAGGGATGCTTTGAAAGAGAAAAACGGCAAGATGGAGAAAGAGAAATGATGGAATGGGGGGAGTCTGGAGTTTTTCCAGCCACTGCTCTCTCCCTCTTTGCCCTGGAATAAATACAAAACTCAAAGTCATTCTGTGATAGCAGTATCACTACTGACATTCATGCTTGTAACAAACAGCATCTGATTTAGGAGAGATCTGATGACACATAAACATCATTTAAAAAAGGTCACGTCAATTTTGCCCAGGGATTTGAATAAATTTGAATATTCAACATGGCTACAAAGGCAACCTAAGACCCCTGTTGTGTGTCAAACATCTATATGCACAACCCTATGATATCATATAACATTCACAGGCGTTTGAATAATTTCTAGTGACACAGAAAAGACACTCACACGAAATAGGCACATGCATCTGTGTGTTCCAGGCAAAATTATCATCATATTTCAGAGTATAAACAGAGAAATGAGTGGATGATACACCCACACTACATGCTTTAGCCTGTCATGCGAGCGGGTGTGAAGGAAATACATACATCACACATAAAATCAAACAGCAAGAGTCGAATTTTAACTGGTATTTAGGACTCTGTGAATGTCCTGTGTTTTAAGCGATGGTCAAACGGGTTGTATCATCAAAGAAAGAGGAAAGGGTGGTTGATTAATGAAGAGAGAAGTGAGGTCAGAACTAGTAGAGAGGCATCAATCCCAGACGAAGATGAATGTAAATAATTCAATCACACAGATGCTTCGGATGAGATGGCACTGCTCACAAGGGTCAGCATCAAAGATGAGAGTCTAAACAAGCCAAACCCCCCCATAATAGTCCCAAATGTTTTCACAGATACACACTACATCATAACATTGTAAATTAATTATTGGGTTTGACCATTTCAGAAAATCCCTAAAGCCAGTTACAGTGGAATGGCTTCCCAAAAGATTGGATGGGAGGGTTTGGGGTTGGTAAGATTTTTTAATGGTTTGGAAAAAAGTCTCTTATGCTTACCAAGGTGCTGTTAAGTAAAGTAAAAATAGTAATATTGTGATATATTATTACAATTTAAAATAACTTTTCTATTTTAATATATTTCCACATGTAATTTCAAAAAGCAAAGCTGAATTTTCAGCAGCATATTATTTTTTTTCAGGATTCATTGATGAACAGAAAGTCACTTTTGATCATTGTAATGCATCCCTGCTGAATAAAAGCATTCATTTCTTTAAAAATTAAAATAAATTCTTATTGCCCCCAAAAGTTTGAATGGTATTGTACAAATTTAACCTGTTCCCACTGTATACTTTTAGTACTGTGCATCTTTCATTTGACAATCTAGATTTGAATATTAATGACATGAAAACATACAATTCTGCAATACACTGATGCAAAGGCAGGAATCATGACAGGAGAGCTTAATGATACATGGCACAGTGTATTGATCCATTAGATCATTTTAGATTACTGCCAAACAAGTGGCTTTTACAGTGTAAAAATAGAGGTCATAATTCAATGTGAAATAACAAGGAAACCTGGACATGGCTGATTTTATAGATGGTACACATAAAATGCTTGTAAAGGGATCTTTAAACCCGGCAGTTACACTCAGCAGAAATGGAACAAATTATGGGAAACTGAAAACAATTTGCCCTAAAGTGAAAGGAAACAGAAATGACAAACAACAGACAAACCTTGACTGGAGGGTCAAGAGCCGATTTCTCTCATCTTTCTCTGCATCCCGTCTTTTTATGTCTCTGTTAACCTCTCTATCCTTCGCTCTCTGTTTTGTTAACCACTTAAAGAGTGTGTCTGCTCAATCAATAGATTTTTAATCGTTTACTGTACATGTATGCAATGCAATTAAAGCAGTGTTAGACCGTCTGTTTAGTAAATTAGTGTTAGACTTATTAGTGTTAACTAATAACTAAGACTTAGAATTAGTTCTAACACTAAATTAGATTTCTAGCGGTTCAATTCATCCTGTCCCTGCATGGTGTTTTAAAGGGACAATTCACTCATCCACACATCATTACAAAACTATACCATTTTCTTTCATCTGAGAGACATAAAAGAAGGTTTTTTGGATAAAATATTTATGTTTTTTATCCATACAATGAAAGTCAATAGTAACCATAAATGTTTGGTACCAACATTCTTCAAAATATTTTCTTTTGTGTTCTGCAGAAGAAAGTAATGCTGGTTTGAAACGACTTATTATGATTTTTCATTTTTGGATGAACTATCCCTTTAAGTGCTGTAGGTAACAGAATATTTAATAAGATTAAATGCTCCTCATGTATTGGGTGTTTACGTTTTGTTATGTAGAACGTATTTAAGTAAATCTAAATTTTATTATTATGTATTAATTATATAATTAAGTCTCAATCAGCACCATAGTTCAGTAGATGCGTTTAAGACCATTTCATGACAAACGGAAGAAGGGGGCAGAGTCAGACATAAATTCATAAATTATGAAAAAAAATATCATAAATTATGTGCAATCTGTAGCCTGGCAAACTACAGTTTCAAAGTAGCTTCCCCAACACTGCAGTGAAGATATAAGAAGACTAGATTCACATTTCCTAAAGTAAATACCAGCGCACACAAGGATGCAAAAGAATCATGTTAGGTAAGCTTAGGATTTGGGACTTCAGTGAAAAATGACACGTTGCATCAGTCACTTTGCTGTTGTCATGACAATAAGTATGAGTCTTGTTTTCTGTCAGATGAATCCACATCTATACATTTTTATGTAACACGGGGATGGCAAGAACAATCACAATTCAATATGCATATATTAGAATGACGTCACCACTACTCGTTACAATTTGAATGCTGAACATTCTATCAATGCATATCAGAGGGAAAAGGCTGTAATCGTAAATGTATTAAACGTATAATTGAGCACACCTAAGCTGAAATTATCTTTCAAATAAACTAAGAATGAAATTTGTAAGTTAAGCTGTTTGATCGTAGTTAATTGCAGAAGTTTAATTCAAAATATGTCATGAATAATAATACACTTCCACCTTGCAAGCACCAAAACTAATTCTGAAAGCCACTAAATAAAAGACAAAATAAAGAAACAGTGTCTAAAGCAAAACTGCTTTTATGCATTTGGGAGAGTTTTTCACTCACCTGTTTCCAACTGTCAAATACTAAAATTGAGCTGTCCTCATCATCCACAGTCACTCGCCGCTGGTAACCCTCATCTACAACACACACACAGATACATCTTTAAAAAACTGACACTCAAGGATAAAATAAAATCAATTAGCATCTCATTTTATTTCTGCTGGTGAGCAGAAACTGGCAATTTCATGGGAACGAATGTATAATAATGTATCTGTAGAAAGAACACAAAAGAAGTTTTGAAATGCAAGTTCAGAATTGTACTCGAGACGTTGTGTAACAATAATTTAGCTGGTGCAGAATCGATGCACAAGAACACTCAACTCAGGTAAAAAAATAAAAAACAGACACACACTGTCTGTGTGTCTGATTGGCTCTTTATCCTTTAGTAAATGCTCTGTTTGTGCAGAAAGGGTCTGTGCAGAGGCAGCACTCTTGCTGGTTCTTTCCCACCTCATTAAGACACAAGATGATGAAAGACCTGAAATAAGATGGATGCCTTCACGGCACCCACTCCGCTTTTTCCAATCAAATCCTGAGAGCCTTACACTAGTGATCTCGGGTGTCTGTGAGGTGATAAGTGTGTTTCATCCAAAGCAAATCTAAAAATAGTACAGTCCTTGGCATCCTGACGCTTGATGCTGAGCACACGAAAGCTGTATGAATATAATATTTACCGGTTGCTTGGGTTTCAGAGTCTATGGAGAGTGATCTGTCTGACAGTCCAGCAAGACAAAGTGCCAGAGAGGATTTGCCCACTCCGTTTTGGCCCAGTAGGACTATCCGAAGGGGTCCGTGGTACTTCTGCTGCGGCAGTTTTAGGGAAGGCGAATCTTGGATATTGGTGACGCTGATTTGTGGAGTCGCAGACTCATTGAGCCCAGGCGTCCAATCGTAATCCTCGGAAACAGCCTCCTCTCTCTTCAGCTGATGCTTGATTGGCAGGGGGGTGCTGCCCCTGCGGAGCTGGGGTGCAGCCGAAAGAGTTAAGCCATAACCCTGTGAAATCATCAGATGAGATCAAGATGAGACATGCATCTTCATCCAATCAAACTGAACACTAAGAACAATGTCAGTCCATAAGATATCTAAATCAATACTGTATCAAAACACTTCATATGCAAGGGGGAGGATTGTGATCCTCTGGGATTTAAGTTGTCCAGTGGACATTATACGAAAGTGGGTCAAAACAATGTGCAGTGTGTCCATTCACATAAACAAGCATCACTTGCTTAGAAAGAGTGGCACAGACATCCCATAGACAACGTGTAAAATAATGGGTTTTCACAGTTTCAATGATGTTGAGGGCTTTGTCCATCTATCTCTATCAAGCAAAATCACCAAGAGAGCTCTTAAACTGTTTACTGTGTATGCTTGTGAGGGCAACTGGCATCAATATTAATATGGCAATTAATCTAGCCGCAGCACTGCAGGTGTGCCGGGGACCTTGTACGCCTGATCCGGTGTCAGACATGCAAGACACACATAGACAGCCAATTATACTAATTGAAAGGAGATAATTAATTAATCATAGACTTTATTGTGAATCAGACAGTGAAACAATAAGATCTAGTATGATGCTTGGGGTGAGGTAGCCCAAGACCAGCTCTTAAGTAACAGTTACTTTGAATAACAACATCATTTTGAATATCATATCATCATGAATATTGAAGTAGTATGCAAATCATTTGGATCATGAATAATTAGCCGACCATACAATGAAGACTTACACATTTTATTAAGTTACAGTGATTATCAAGATCACCATAGATATTTTTGACCGTTTATATCATTACAAAGACACTAAACTGAAATAGTACGACTGTCTGAGTACAGGAATGTTTTTTAAAACACAATCACTCCTACATAATAACCAAAGTCAACATAAAGACTGCAGAAGAAGAGAGGGTGTGTAGGCTACACACCGGCGTACATCCAAACCTGTGAAGGATCTTACAACCCCCACACACATATCCACAAACATACACACACACGCACGGGAAAGCGTCTTACCTGGTCCGACATCGTTCTTCAGTTCATCCGCTCTCAGTGAGACACTCAGCCGTCCATGTCATGTCACTGAGCGTAAAAACTGCACAGGCGTCGATGGGGATCGTTACATTACACTCGACTCATATGCCATTACATGGCTGTAGTCAGGAAAAAATAAACGCTTCCAATATGACTCTAACCACACAAAAATGCTCCTTTTGACTTAATAGTAAACATTTAATCGCTTCTCTGCGACCGGCTGCGCTGCGTGACTACCGTATTACTGTACACCTGTCTCTATAATAGTGGCTTTTCATATGAGAGCGTGTAGCCCCGCCCCCGCACCTCGTAGACACGCCTCTTCATTCCGGTCGTTACCTGAATGCTCCCAGTCTTTCTGGATCTCTCTCCAAATCAGGTCAATCTGATGGCATGGTAAAGAAATATATAAAGATTGATATTCTATTTATCACAATTTTTAGTTTAAGTCCTAAATTCTGCTCTGCAAATTATTGAACTCTGGTTTATGGTTTTGATTTTATTGTTAAAACTTCATTAATAAATAACTGCACAGGAACGAATGTGAAACGCACTATTAACATTCTAATAACTACTATTAACTACCAAGGAACTCTGATTAATAAATTAGTAAATAATTGCACTCAGTTGAATGTGGTAATTAGTTCACTATTAGCTTATCAATAACTCGAGTGTTACCAAATTCATCAGAAGGTATTACTATCCAAAACTTTTAAAGCTTTCAATGACTTTGAAACTTACTGAACCTTAGGGAGTTATCATGCTTTTCACTTTATAATACTGATCCAAATAATTAGTAATTCCTTCTGAAGGATTTGGTCATTACTAGTGGGTTACCATGACCTTCACTTTAGAATACCATATTCGTTAATTAGAGTTTCTTGTTAATAGTTAGTGTTATTAATGTGTTACTCATTTGTTCCTGTGTAGTTATTCATTAACGACGGAACAGTATTCTAAAGTGTTTCCTTTTTTTTAAGATTAGCTAACATCCATGAGTTGCAGATGCTACTGTGTACGCCCTCTTTTGTGGGTGACAGCAGCTCCAGATTATATTAAAAAAAGGCATTTGACTTCAGTGTTTATTAGTCAAATCAAGTGCTGAGTGCTGTTCTCTCCCTCTTTCTCTCTTTTTGTTGACATGTGTTCATAAGCTTTGACCTTGATAAGTACTTTGTTTGATTCAGCTTTACAAGACACATAAAGCGTATCCTCCGAGTTATTTTTCTCTGGCAACCCTGAAGTTTTGAAGCACTGCATGAATTATTGAGTGGTCGTTAAGTTTTATTGCAGCCACATCAAGCATCATTATGTCACAGGTGGAGAGAAAAGCGTTTCCATGCAGGCTTTTTAATAATTCCGCATGCAAAGACCAATTGATCTTCTTGTCTGTCTCTTTGATCTTAGTTTAAATTAACTATTACTAGAGCCAAGGAAGCAAAGGAGACTGGAAGCAGCCTGAATCATCTGGGAGTCTCCCACTCAAGTGACGCTATATCAGTTCAAAATGGACTTTTTTTCACCCTCCTGGTCATAGACCTTGGTTCTCCTTCTCTGCATTCCTGATTGAACATTTTTTCAATTTCCACCACCACCATCCTTACCAGAAATCTGCCAACAAATCATTTATCCACTAAATTTGTCTCACAAGTTCAGACCAAGCCCCAGTGCATGTTAACATTGTTTTGATTTTCATGTGTAGTGGTCAGAAAATAATACAATTTGATGAATATGCTTATGCTTTAGTGTCCTAAAGTCAGGTGTCTGGTCTGTTTAGATTTCTTGAGCCCATTGATTCCAATTTTTTGCCATATTCATTCCTTGTCTGCCATTTTTAATGTTAATGTCTCTGTGTCTTACCAGAGCTGGTCGTAAAGTGGCTTTGGTCTTACCATTACTTTGGTGTACTGAAAGGAATTGGTAGGCATCATTGGCATTTTGCCCAGATGGTACCTGAGCAGTTTGGGGATAGCGCCACCTTGTGGTCAAATAAATTAAAATGTGATGTAATTTACAATAATTCAATGGGCTCTATGCACGGCGGTATTTCCGGTGAAGGTCTAAGGATGCTGGATTACTTCCGCCGATCGTAGAGTCCAATGCTATACCGAGAATTTATATTGGTTTTTATACTCTATTGCTATACTAAAGAAACGTTAGTCACAAAAACAGACAAAACAGACACTCCTCATTTTGTTTATGCTTCTGTGTTTATTATATTAAATAAACATAACTATATATAAAATTACATCTAAACGTATTAAAGTTTCGTTTCAAAGACGAGAGGACAGTAAATTTTGAAGACTCTGCCATAATCCCGTTTTCCTCGGTTTTCCTCCGCTTTAAATCTCCCCAACCGGAAACGCACGAGCATCCTTGCGTCAAACGCGGAAGTTATGCGTGCATATAGCCCATTACTTTTAAATAATTTGTCAGAAAGTCATTGATTATGGTCTCTTCTTCTTCCCTCATAAGGTCATAAGAAGCTAATGATATCTTGTTAAGAATGTCAACCTGTTACTTGTCTGACATTTAGATTTTTGTCCCATCAAATTTTGTCAAATCTTTACTAAAGTTGGCTGATCTTCAGACAAGTTGCACAAAAGTTGAAATAAAGGTGTCATTTTAGGGGACACTTTTTAATGTAGAGATGAAGTCAATTGCAACGACATCCAGGAAAAGAGAAAGTGTCTCAACACTGTCATACGGACAAAAAATTATTTGAGGGGAAAATTAAAACAAAGTTTTGGGCTATATATAATATAGGGCTGTCAATGTTAACGTATTAACGCATGTGATTAATTCAAAATAATTGAACACAAGTAAATTACTGAAGCTGTGAAATTGCACCATTGACGTAATTAACGTCATGCAGTTAGATGATCTTAGAAGTTGGGAGTTTTCCGCACTGAGCATCTGTAACCCTGATTGACATAAATTTCTATTCTAACCCTTTAACCCGAGCTCTGTCATATTCTTGGTCGGTTTCACAGACAAGGCTTAAGCCTAGTCCCAGACTAAAATGCCTGTTTGAGCTGTTTTAACTGAAAGCATATCTTAAAATATGTCAGTGCCAAAACATATTTTGTTTTGTCTCAAGATGCACACCAGTAATGTATTTTCTAGGGCACATTTTTAGAAGCTACTTAAATGTCCGAATTGATCTAAGGCCTAAGCCTGGTTTAATAAGCTCTGTCTGTGAAACCTTTTTGATTGTTCCTGAAGAGCATGAGCCCTCACAGTACATTCATATTGTTTACACAAATATTCAGTATAATGTTTTGATTTGTCTTGTGTATATTACTAGTTATTCTGAATGGATCCATGCACTGTAGTAGGTATATATCATTTGTTTATTTGGTGTCCTCTTTTGGAGTCTCCAAGTGTCTCTTTTTGGAAATACCTAAATTTACCTTGAAAGAAGCTTTCAGAAAATACAGTTTTGTGAGAAGCACCTTTTACTTTTACTATAGCAAATGACAAAATCAACGTGTTAAACAAGATAAATGGTGTATGCTTAATTTCACTTATTCGATAAATTCACGTTAATCGCTTAAATTGTACGATTAATCGCGATTGAAAATTTTAATCTAGTAACCTCTGGCTTGCAGAGTATAATAATGTCTCCATGTCTCCCATCTGCCAAATTGGGTTTTGATGAAAACTCTTCTCCTTCCACAAATAATGTCTAATTCGCTCCAGTTTTGGCTCAGATGATCTTCAGACCACACTGAACATCACATTTATTTATTTTTTTATTCAAAATAACAGAATTTTAATAATCCCATCTCGGTTGACCTAGAGTAGAGGTTTATTATTGTAGTCATCTATATCACATTTTTATTGTGTGCTATTCTTCATCATGCACATCTGCAATTGCTTTGTAAATATGTCAGTAAAGATGATTCAATACACATGTACTGAACACATGGGTAAAAAAATTCATTCTTGGAGAGCAGTGGATCATATTTCAGATACATGTGACAGATTGAGATTGCCAGCTCAGTGCAGCTCCACAACAGTCTACCGAGCAAGAGTGCCTCAGTCCGTGGTGGTCTGGGGCTTCACATGATGACAAAGAGGGTCGAGAGGAGCACGCTGAGCTCATGTCGCAGATGAGCTTGTTAATCTGCAGTGTTAATTGCATCTCATCAGACCTTGTCGGCTCTGTGTGAGTCTGAAAGGAGTTTGATGTGAGCGTTGACAACTCTAATTATTCCGTAAACCCCCCCCAAAATATGACTATTATAATTACAGTAGATAACGATAGAGTTTAAGTGGGTACGTCTTGCGAGCGCAGTGAATGGGTGATGTTGTCAGTGTAATTGTGAGACAGCTCACCCCCATTCTCAGCGTTGTTCTCGTCAGCCTGTCTGCACTTTAACTGCGACCTTTTTGAACCGTTATTAGCTCACTGAGGTCTGAAGGGACACTGCATCAGATTAGTAAAAAAGATTTCATTGGTCACTTGCGTGGCTGGTGTTTTGCTGGTTTATGCTAGAGGGATTACAACAAAACAACCCAATTTTCCAGGCAGCTTTAAAACCTACGTAAACAAACTCGTTCAATGGTTTCGTTATTGTCAAATAACAGGCATAATCAGAAAGCCAACCTCTTGATCTTTTCTACAGAATTCTCCCTCCACTCATCCCAGAAATGATTTCTAACCTTGTTATTTGATGAAATGACCAGCCTTGGATGCACATTAAATGTCCCTGTGAAGTCAAGATCACAATTTCCTAATGCACACTGACAATGAGAAAATTACTAAGTTATACGAATGCCATTTCAGAATGTAAATGGAAGAAGGGCACCGATTTGTTGTTCTGGAAAGAGGAATGATTGACAGAGAGGAGCCAGAACAAACATTTTGTCACACTTATGGACTTGGAAAATGATTATGCCAAGGTAAAAACAGATGCCTGTACAAAACAACTATGGCATTTCCATATTTTCTGGACTTGACATCATGGTAATACCATGGATTTAGAACCCCAAAATATATTGGTACAGTGATGGTATCAGATGGAAATACTATGGTACTTTAAAATATACCATGGTAATGAAATTCATGTACCATAAATGGTATGATAAGAATACTATGGTACTACCATGGTACATGTTCAAAAAATACCCTTAATAATAAGTCTTTGTCATGACACAGCATGACAATATATTCCATTCTAATACCAGTGATATTTTAGTATTATTCATATACTTTTTTTAATTAGCTTGTATTTTATATTTTCAGTTTTCATTTTAGTTTAAGTTTTAG